GTCAACAGTTCGCTTCACGTTTGAACACCACAAAGCAAGAGAAATCTTCCATAAAAAATACTATGCATCAAAACTGTTAAATATAAGAGCCTCGAGTACGTGTATGAGTACCGATACCCTTAAGTACAAGTACTTCGAGTATTTTCCACAGCTCTGGGCTGTGTGGATATGTGTCCTTTCTTCATCCACAATCACACCGACACCTACACTAACATCCGCACCCACATTCATACCCAGACGGACATTCACACCCACAACCATCCAGACCCAGGCCCATACCTACACTCACAAATACCATAGGCCTTGTTTATGCTTTAAATAGTCTCGTCGTGTTGTATATTTTAATTACACACTTGCAGCAGGTTTTGAGGACTATCTATTCACAATATGTTAACTTACTTTCAAAAAGTATGTTAGTTCTATTGAAAATATTAATTATTGCTATAATCAATGGTGAATATCATAAAATAGTCATGTTTCTACTTAGAAAATCTTTTTTTGCTGGGTAAAATTTAACGTATGTTTTCTTTTTGTTTTGTCTATCTGAATTCGGGTTTTACGGAACATTTGCGAAGAAAAAAAAATCTAATTTGAATGGTTATCTAAAAATTTTACCAATCACTGTCAAAAACATAATTTTCAAACTATGAATCTGGGGTTTAAATGTATTAAATCAAGAGTTTGGTATTGCTTTTTTCTTTGAAATAATTATTGAATAATGAACAAAAAAAATACAAAATATAAAACAAAAAGAAACAACTTATCACATTGACAATAAATCAAACTTTTACTTGCATTATCTGGCTTTGTATCCAAAGTCATATTCGCAAAATGAACGAAACTAGTTTGACTTGTCGTACTAGTAAATAATGTTGAATTTATCATAAAACACTGATTTCCAGCAGTACATGTAGCATTGAAACCAAGATATTCACCAAATATTTTGACATGTCCAGCAGATACAATATCACAATTTGGATAAATATCACTAAATGTAGCAGTGGTTATGTTTTTATCTAGAACGATAGTTTGATCTGTTAAAGATGAGTATTGAGGCCATATTGGACTCATATTATCATCATCATTTGGTTGATGTTTCGTTATCATATTTGTCCAATATCTACGAATAGATGTTGCTAAATTGAATTCATCGAGTAAAAACATCTGATTTCCATAAAGTGAAGGTGCTAATGTTTGAAATAGATTCAAAGATTCAGATGAATGATATGCACCAGGTCGAACAATGAGACTTGGTAATGATAAGAAATAGAATTCTGGTGCATGATTATATGTGTAAAGATAAGTTGGTTGTTCGGCTATATATCCAGCCATACGACGAGTAGCACAAAGAAACATTCCTTGAGACATTAAAGCGATGAATGCTTCCGAATAATTGCCATTGAATACACTTAGATTGTATCGAGTTGCAATATCCGATTGATTATAAGTTGCAGTTGGTAGAACACGAGTTAAATAATCTTCAGCATTGATCGGTGGATGGAAATATTCTTCGTAGAGAAGACGTAGAACAAATTCATCTTGATTTGCTCCGAGAAGTGTAGGTACATGATTAAAAGCACCTGATAAAAAGGCTTGTAGTGGATGAATAGGTATTTCTATTCCATCAAAGATCACATTAAAAGGAAATACTTGACCAAGTTTAATTTGATCTTTGAAAGGTGGAGATGTCAATAGTGGAATGGATACATTAATTGCAGTAGTAAAGAGTAAACTACTATTGATAGTTCGTAAACAAGCTAATTGTTGAATCGAATCAGTCATATTACATCCAACACGCAAGGCAAGATCATTTGCTGTTGAATAAAGAAATTGTTTATCAAACATATAAGGTACAGTGTCACAAGATCCACTTTCAAGTATTGCAGCATGGAATAAACCAACTGATAATGGTGATACCATATGAATACAAACTGACGTAGATCCACTGGATTGACCAGCTAGAGTAATTTTATTCTTATCACCTCCAAAATATCCAATATTATCTTGAATCCATTTCATTGCCATACGTTGATCACTAAGCCCTTGATTTGCAATTGTTTGACCATTATCATCAATCAAAGCCGATTGAGCAAAGAATCCAAAAACATTGAGACGATAATTTATACTGACCATAATAAATGATTTATTGGCTTGAATAGCAGTATTTGTCCAACTAAGTCCATCATAAACTATTTGTGTTGAACTACCTTCTTGAAGAGCTCCTCCATGAAGCCATAACATGACAGGATATCCAGTTGATGTTGATGGAGGTGGAGTATGAGGTGCCCAAATATTTAGATACAAGCAATCTTCATCAAATGGACCCGAGGAACCTCCTTCTCGAATGGTTTGAGGACATGATGGACTGTAATAGGTGGCGTTCCTGACTGTATCATTTTGACTGTCATTTTTCACATAAGGCTGTGCTTTTTGCCAGCGAAGTAATCCAACAGGTGGAGCAGCATAAGGAATTCCAATCCACACATTCGTTTGACGAATAGTTAAACCAGCAAATCTACCGGATGTCGTAGAAACAATCGGAGTATCTATAGATTCGTTGGCAAAAGGATAAAGAGTGCCTTGTAATCCAGACACTGTTCTAATCAATAGAACACAGAATAACCAAAAAAGAAACATAGCATACAAATAAGGCAACATAAACTATTAACTATCGAATTTCTCTTGATTATATATAGTGATACTATAGAGTAAAAAAAATATTGATACACGACATATGACAAATCATCACTAACGACAAAGTGCAACAAGTATACCACCGTATAAGAAATGATGTTAAAAAACGCAATACACAGGTAAGAACATGATTGAGGGGAGAAACGAAAAAGTATTGAAATATACTGCCCTTCCTA